TATGTTTTCTTTCCCAAATGACGTAGTATCTTATATCATAGTTCTTGTCTCGTGTCCATCCTTTAAATTGAAAGGTTCTTAACTAGTTCGGAATTTTTTCAATTTTTAATTTCAAGGGGAAAATTCCGTAACAATATATGTTTCTTTTACCTTTCAACTATTTGTCATTCGACAAAATCAAACTTCTTTCAGTTGATATTAGAAAGTTTCTTATATCTTTTCATGTAAGTAGTCTGTGTACCGCATAAAACTCCATAATATATATATATATATATATTACGATTCCATTTTAAGATCTTCTTTCAACAATTTTCTTACAACATCTTCTGCATTTTCATTTCTTAAACATGGAATTTCATTAGATAACAAATGTATTTTTTCTTTGGTGAATTTTTATTCTTAAAAGTTACTCTCTTGTTTATTTTGTTCCTTTTTCCTCGCTCTCTCACCGCAGTTACATACTTTTTTGTTTGATATCCTGAAAAAAAACAATGGCCAATTTCTTGTAACGTTTACACGAAAACACTATTGTTGAACGAATATTTAGATACTTTTAAACCACTTTATTATAGAAAACATGTTGATGAAACTTTGTTTCTAAATCCGAAAGTTATGTTTCTCTTTTTGAGTAACGTTTAAATAATAAGCATGTCAGTATTAAATTCATTGTACTACAGAATTTTCAATCGAAACTACTTTTATTGCATACATTTCTTTACAAAACCAATACAACGTTTAAATATTGGGAGTTATCATAAGTCTATTTTGTCATTAAGAATCTTGTGAATAGCCAGTATAGGATCACAAATAGTTAGGAACTCTTTCTTAAAGATATTCACAGGTAGTTTGGCAAATAAATGAGTTTTCTAATTCTGTCCTTAATACACTATATATTAGAAAAACTTAATAAAGCTACCATCACTTTAGTTTCACAAATTCATATTTTGAAAGTATTTCCTGTTACCGCATACTGGAGAATATGTTGTTAAATTCAATAGATGAAATTATTTGAATGTATGTATCCAGAAAGTCAGTTAAGATGTATTTCTAAATTATTTATTAGGCTTAAATAGTTGTTTAAATTTCAAGACTTTGCACGGAAAAGTAAGTGCTCATTGGTTGATTTTAAACGTAAACGTTTATGCTGTGTCATGAAATATGTAGAATCCACCGAATTAAATAACACTCATTGGTAAGAATTGAGAACACATTTATAATTCAAAATCACATATTATCGGTTTGTAATGCCGAATAAATTTTAGGAATTTCAAGATCGTAAGTGAAAAACAACATCAAATACTTTAATAGTTCACCAAAAGCCACGTCTGACCCAACAAGGTTTAATTGCTCTATGACTACTACAGTTGTAATGTAGTTTCTAAACAATAAACAATGAATTTGTGTTCTGGGTATTTTTAGCTTATTTTGATGTTGCTCATGGTTTAAGAAGATATGTTTCTTCGAAACTAATGCTATGAAAGAATCACCACACTTAGAATACTTGAAAGTCTTCCAAAAGCCACGTATGACCAAATGAGGCTCGTGCACAATCAGACGTTAATTACAACTTGTAATTACTCTGTATATTTCAGCATATTTCACTGCCATCACAAGGGATGATTTTTTTTTTACTTTTATTTTCAGCCATTATAGCACTTCTTCAGCTTCGATTTTTACATAACTTTTTTTTCGATATAGCCCAATATAAATATAATTATTTGTGTTGTTTTAAAAATTTCATAACTATTAAAATTTGAATTATGGTTAATGGTTTGCGATACTTTCTACATGACTACAGGGAATTCTAATTATAGCTAATAAGTAGGGTTGCACTAATCATTAACATTAAAGGCGTATAAAGATTCCTGTTGCATTCTTAAGTAAAGTTAACTCTTGAGTGTTTATTCAAGTGGAGAGTTGTACATTAGGCTATCTAAGATTTTCCCACCGCAGGGATCGAACTCCAAATTTATACTTTATAAGCTATCAAGTTTACTACTAAAGAGTATTTTGAAATCATTTTTTCTGGAATATATTTCAATTTTGTTTGGCAATAATGTATAAAAGGTGAAACTACATCACGAAAAGGTCTATCGTATTTCAAACTTGAAGACTGTTGTTCTGGAAATCACACTGAAATCAAAGTGGTTTTATTATAATACCTAAATAACTGAAGCTGTAAACTACATGAAGAGATAGTTGATGATTAAAAAAATACAGAAATATGGTTTTATCTTTTTTTTTATTTTGGAAATGATTGCTAAAATAACGTTTCATCGGGCTTTAACCGGCATCGTCAGCAACTTGAATGACATATTATAACCTGCAATTTAAAATCGTAAGTAAACAATTGAGTGAAGTCAAATCAAGCGCGCAATAACTGGATTTTTATTTTAGACAAATTTGAATTATTTCATTGCAAAGAAGTAATTTTTGTATGATTCGATGAAAGTACTTTCATAATGACCGTACTATTGGCAAATGTTTGATTGTTCGCGCAAAGCTACACGAGGGCTATCTGCGTTAGCCGTCCCTAATTTAGCAGTGTAAGACTGAAGGAAAGGCAGCTAGTCATCACCACCCACCGCCAACTCTTGGGCTACTCTTTTACCAACGAATAGTGGGATTGACCGTCACATTATAACGCCCCCACGGCTGAAAGGGCGAGCGTGTTTGGTGTGACGGGGATTCGAACCCGCGACCCGCAGATTGCGAGTGGAGCACCCTAACCACCTGGTCATGCTGAGCCAAAAATTTAAATTTAAAAACTTCTAGATTGTCGTATCAATCGTGTACTTAACTGCCAACAACTATTAACTAAAGCTCATCATTTATTCAGTATGTATTCAGGAGAATAAACGTAGTCAATATAAAGTTATTAACGAGTTTATATAAAATATCTATAATTCAGTTAACATGTTTTTTTTATGTTCTTATACACAAACTATCGTAGAAACACCAATCATTCAGAAATATATCCAGTTTTCTCTCGTAACAACGTTCTCTAAAGTTAATATTACATAATTGGAAAAAAAATGTCTTAATAAATCGACATGTAAGTGAAACTTCCTAAATTCATAATCACTAAATGGGTTATTTGTAAATTATGAGGACGTGAACGTATCAGTAGTCACAATGGATAACAACCTATACTTCTTTCGACGTAGAGGTTAACAGCATATAATTCATCAATATCTCACTGTCATTACGTTTTTCTTTAAAAGTGTCAAAAGTTATAATGCATTGTGTGAGTGAAAATCATGCTGTAAACATTACTGAGATGAACATGAATATAATAGTCAATCAAATACGAGAACTGGAAGATCATAGAAAAAATAAGCATATTAATATAATTACTTAAAGCTCTTGTACTCTGTTATCGTCGTTCCTTAACACTTAGAAGTACAAGGTTATTATAAAGTTAGTTAGCCTAATCTAATATCCGTAATTCGAGAACAAATAATCAGGGAATCATAATATTTGGGGAGTGAACCAAAGAGATGAGAGAAAAGACGATTTCATTGCCCAAAATTATAATAAACAGAGTACGATGCTCATGAGATTCGCATAGATAACATATTAGCCACCCATTGGCTCACAGGTGAGTGTAAGCGTTTAAAACCCTAAAAGTCGGGTTTCGATACCCGTGGTGGGCATAGCACCTATAGTTCATTGTGCAGGTTTTTGCTCAATAACAAACAAGCAAAAGACAAAATTTAACAATATTCGACGTGAACTCTATTCACGTGCACTTTTTCTTATATTCGTGAGAGGGCATGATACACGGCGAAGTGACACTTGGTGTTTTAGAGTGTTTTTCATATACATAAAAGTAGTGGGCGCGTCATGGTAACACATGGCTATAAGTTAGCATGAGTGAGATTTGTATATCGTGCTGGCCATGGGTATGTTTGTAAAATGTCTGCTGATTGGTCGATTCCTGAAAACACATCCCAGAAATATATTTATAGTTTGTGCAATATGTGGAGGGGTTAACATTTTTCAAGCAGATTGTTTTATTCAAAATTCTTCTTCCCTCAATGGAAGAAATGACAAGAAATTATATATCCAGTATGGATATAGTATTCATTGTTACGAATTCATTATTTGTGGTTTCCCAAAGGAATCAAATAACGAAGTTGCTTATGAATCCAACCCACATTGTAACTTTATATCATGCAATCATCATTGCAAAAAGCATGCAAGTTGCTTTGTCCTCAGATGACTCAGTTGAAAGTGCTGACATAGATAGAGAAAAGTGGGTGAATCTCGTTACTCCACAAGACTTGTCTAGACAAGTGTCATTGATGTCTACTCGAGCCAGCAATCGGAGTTCAAAATGAAACCGCTCGTTTGCATCTCCTGGCATCAATTCTAAAATGATCTGTAAGCCGTAGGGTTAACGGTTCTATGTTTTCCTCATGACCTTCCAGAATGTTGATTGTAGAAATGTGGTATTCTTGATAACTGGATTGATGATGCATTACTCTTGAAGATTTTCTTCTCCATTAAGAACCACCATTTGACTTCTGGGTGTTGCGGGGCACCATTACAAGTTACATCATTTTTTCATCGGTATTTTTATCAGCTTTTACTAAGCATCATTCCTGCATGATCCTCTTTTTGTCTTTAACATAATCTTAATGTTCACCACTCTCATTACCTTCACTTTAGTAATGCTTTGCAAGTTTAGTATTCAAAGATAGGGTTCCATTTCTAAGGGTAGAATGAACTAAGTCATATTCGATTGTAAGTTTTATAGTTTCCACTATGCAAAGTTCATGACTAGGCTTCCTGATGATAGTTTTGGGACTGGAATCGCCTTACTTATTCTGTCAAATACTATAGATTTCATATGATTAAAGTTCGACTTATATACGTTAGAGTAAACTAACTAACCTTATAATAACCATGGAGATAAATTTATGTATTTTTTCTGTATATATACGTGTGTATATTGGTTTTTTTTTTCTTATTATAATATTTCCACTAATGTTTAGCGCATGGAGCAACTCATGTCAGTTACCAGCCGTATGAAAAGAGGCACAGAGTTATTTTCAAAAGCTTCGGAGTGGATAAGCCCAGACAAGGAGCACTATATGGTAAATTCAAAGCGGAAAGGTGTGAAAATGGTTGCAGCTGAGTGTATTTGTCCCGTTGGTGAGCCTGGTAAGCGGTGTATTTTATGTTGGTAATTGTTTTTATCTCCACAGTATTCCTATATACACGTTGTTTGTTGAAATATCAGAATATCTTTATAATGTTTTGTCGCTGTCATTCACTCTAATTGGAGGTGTGAGAAATCCTGCTAAGTCTTATTTTAATTATTAACATCTACGAAGTTTTCTTACACAAACATGTAATTTTTTATCAAATTTTTTAACGTGTTTTCCAACTTGTTACCTGAATCAATACTCTCTGGCGTCAAATATTTGACATGTTATAGTTTAATAGCCTTGTTCATTAACTACTTAATTAGTTAGTCTAAAAAGAAGCATTTTTTTCACGTTTCATGTATCCTAGTCATTATCCTGCTTAGATTTCTTTATCGCAGCTGAAATAATTCATCAACTTTATCAGCTCAAAGTAAACTTAAAAAGTGGCAAAATGACGTGCATATTAAACATCTACAATCTTCGTTAGTTCACACAAAAGAAAAAAAGTTATCTCAACGTGACGCTTCTTACAACACACTAATTGAAGCAGGTCTTGCGTGAATCACTAAACGTGTCAAGCTGTTAGCGATATTGGAGATCAGAACAAAAACGACTTGACTATAATAAAGCAGCATTATGCTGTGTCACAAACTGTAGGAGTATCAGGAGCAGAGAAAGGGATTAGAATCCATGAGTGTTCACATAACAATCCAATCCAGGATGTGTGGACCATCTGGAACAGTTTGAAGAGCTGGATAGACAAACATTACGGAGCAGACAATGTGGATAGAAAACGAACATTTTGATATAATCCAAATTTATAAAGATATCTGCCTACTTCGCATTCTAAAAGTAGAAGGATAATGTTTTTTTTTATATATTTAAAGACCATTTCACACTCTTTTAAGCTTTCAAAACCATTTCACACTATTTTAAGCTTTCAAATTAATAACACCGTAGAAGCCGTAACATATACATATGAAATACCAAATATCAAAAAAAGTTATTAAGCCCTTACCTGACGGTCGCGGAATCGAATCCCCATCCCATTAAACATGCTCACCCTTTCAGCCGTGGGGGATTTATAATGCAACGGTCAATCCCACTATTCGTTTTTCTAAAGTATACGTATACGTATACGTTTTTCTAAAGTCCATATGGCAGGTGGTTAGGGCGCTCGACTCGTAATCTGCGGGTTCGAATCCCAGTGAGGGCGTTATAATGTGACCGTCAATCCCCCTATTCGTTGTAAAACAGTAGTCCAAGAGTTGATGACTAGCTGCCTTCCCTCAAGTCTTTCACTGCTAAGTTAGGGATGGCTAGCGCAGTTAGATTTTATGGTCTAAGTGCAAGATGTACAGATAACAGTTTAGCTTACCAAAATATTATATCACATAACTTGCAAGTTGAATAATCAATTGGTCGATAAGCTAATTATTTGGGATATTTATTTTGCAAATCGAAACACTAAGGTTCACTCATAAAAAAATCAAATCAAATACTTTTTTCTTATTTCAACCTATTTGACACTGTTCAGTTAAGTGAAATGTACCAACGCTTCAAATCAATCTCGACCCATCTTCAGCAATGGTTCAATCCAAAAAGAAGATGGGGAGCGCTCTGAAGTCTTCCGGTGTGCCAGCAGTAAGTTTGTGGACTTACATCGCTAAAATCTAGGATTCGATTCATTGTGGTATATAAAGCGTAAGTAGCCTATTGAGTTCCTTTGCGCCAAAAAATAACAAGTTTACTGATAAAATAATCTATTAGTCGAGCAGTTCATTCCACGATAATTTCCTTATTAAATTCGTTTATTTAGTATCGGAACTATTTTTGTATGGTAAACAGTTTTTTTGTTATTCAAACACAAAATCGTAATTTCGTATTAAATGCATTTATGTATTGTGACAACTAACACGCTTTTATTCTTTCCAAGACAAAGTTACAAAGTTTGTTTTGAAGTCGAATGTTAGTTGTACATGGTGGAACAGCGGTAAGTTTAAGGACTTACAAAAAAATCCTAAAAAATCGCTAAAATCCTGGGTTAGATTCTCCGCGGTAGACACAGTAGATTGCTTAATATGGCTTTGCTTTAAAACAGACAAACAAATTGATTTCCCTAAATTGTTCTCCGATAGAACAGCGGAAAGTTTCGGATTTACAACACTAAAATCCGAGGTTCTATTTCCCGCGAAGGACACAGCAGATTGCCCAAAGTGACTTTGCTCTAAAACAAACAAACAAATTATACATGTTGTCCTATGTGGCGCTTTGCACAGGACAAGTAAACTATTCGGCGTCTGTCCTCTAAAAGTGGGTTTTCTCGGAGATCTCCCGTTTTCCCCCACAACAAATTCCACGATACTCTTGTTTGTTTTTTTTAGCCCAGCAATGGCATTGGATTTATAGATCTCAGCCACTAGGTGACTCTGTTTATAAGGCATATATTGTGATATGCTTTGTCCAGTGTTGTCGCCTTACTTCTTCTCTTCAACGTCGTCATCAGCCTTGGTCTTCTCTCTGCCTCCTGGACTTCCAGACATTTCTCAAATCTCCATCCCTACCAAATTAGTAGAGACGACCTGACTCTGAAAAATTTTAACCCCACGAACTTAGCAAAATTTATTTTTTCGCGAGCGAGAAGAAGGGGGATATTAATATCCCTGAGCAACCCAGTTTAGGAAAGTTTTCTTTCTTTCCTTTAAAAACGAAATCCCTGACACGATTTTTTTTGTGTGTGTATGTAGCGCTTTACTGATAGTGAGACTTTTCTAACAAACGCAACATTATGAGTACATCTGGATCAATTTATATCACATTAGCGTTCGTGATAAATTTAATGAAACATAAGTCAAAAAGATTTCAAATACATTCAGATAATGAATTAACTGTCAATCATAGTTATCAAAACATTATAAAAGACAAAAGAAAATTAATGTATATTACAGGCAATTATAAACTCATCACAGAGTTCTTCTCTATCTTTCTGACACAAACATAAAATTAAAATAATCAGTAAATTATCACTTTCCTCGAACACCTAAAATAGGAGAATCCATCTTTCACTGACTTACAATGCTAAATGCCGTGGCTCCATTCCCCGCGGTGGACAGTGTGCAAATAGTACCTAGTGTAGCTTTAGACTAAAAAAACAACAACAAACTCTCACCAATATAATCAGTATTATGTAAAAGTCACTCAAAATCTTGTAAAAAAACTAACTACACGTGTAATAAAACTTCTTCAGTTATGTATCTTCAATATCACATACAAGTCTGAAAGGATAAAAAGTTTATTTTGTTATCAAATAAGAAAAAATAAAATGGTTTGATCGCACTCTATTTGAATTATTTATATATGCTAATGCTGTGAAATAGCGCTTGAAATATCTAACAGTATGCTTAGGATAATTTATTTAGGTCATAAGAATTCCTGACCTTTCTAAGTTGCATAGCAGCCTTACGTACCTTCAAATCCGTGTTTATTACCTTGTTAATGACGACAGGAAATGTGCCCAGCTTCATCGCTATGGAAATTTTGTGTCTGATTGTTTTCTATGGTAACCATAGTTTTAATTTTCTTGAGATAAACGTGCACTCTGAAATAGGTTGTGCGCGGTTTTCTATTTCCATAAAAATCAATGACGACTTTCTCCTGCAAAATGCTGTGTCCTCTGGCTCTACATCACTGGACAATCTCGGTATATGAATATCATTTTTCGGAAATCAGAAACATTAGTATCGAGCTCTAAAGTATTGAAATATATTATGGCAAACATATATATATATTAATTTGTTGAACGATATTGTTAGAATGAACTTTAAATGCTTCTGTTTATGAAGATATTCGCAGTACAATTTTTACTCACAAATTACATTTTTCACTTGGAATAGCAATCTGACAGTTTTATAGAATATTGTAAATAAAAATTCTTAAAACAGCTTATACTTTTATTATCATAGTTTCCACTTAGCTGACATGTAAAGTATTATTTAGTAATACATATATATATATATATATATGTGTGTGTGTAATCAATATAATAAACATTTAATGTATATATTTTAGTAAACATTGGAAATCGGTTTTTCGTGTTCCTTATTATTTATATGTTCACATACAAATATATATACATATATTATTTATGTATTTAGTGTTTTCGTTCAAAACCTCAGACCATCCTTAGAATGTACTGAGTATGAAACCAATTTCTCCGTCATCTATTATGCACATTCTGATGGCCGTGACGACGAACCATAATTTCTATTGTAACAAGATTCTACGAAAGGCGACGAGGTTAATTTTGAATTAAACCTTTTGACACGCTTTCCAGGAACTCTCCACTGTACATAGACTTCGTCAGCTCTTTATTAAGTCCGTTTTAATTTGGAAAAAAACTTTACATCACAGTAAACTTCAAAATACTCGAAACACAAGGTCATTAAGCATTATCTTAATATTTGTTGTTTTCATAACTGCTACGACCATTGTTTTATTAATTTCAGACAAATTTAATAGATTGTTTGTTTGTGTTTTAAAAGCTAACCACTGATCCAGCGGAGACAAACAAACTTATCAGAATCCCTGTTTTGAAATATAAAAGGCCTCTAAAGTGAGTTTACTACGTTTAAATATATCTAGAAACTTTTGAGATCGAGAGATAATAAAACAGTACTAAAAATAACAAGAACGAAAATAGACAGCAGTGTTAATTTAACTATTGTGACGTTAATTAAATGCTAATACATAATGGCTACTATAGCCAAAATCAAAATACCAAATATTATCAACTTTTTTCTTCATCGTAAGTGTCGCTATACTGACCAGTACGCATTCAATGCTACACATTTAAACTTTATAACATGGGAACATGGCAAGTAAATATATCAAATGTGGAAAGATACGAGGTTTCTCGGTAAACGGGACATGGTAAATATATAAACTAAATGTTAAAACATACGAGGTTTCTCGGTAAACGGGATATGATAAATAAATAAAATAAATGTTAAAACA